TATACTTCAGACCCACATTTCCAACTATTTGTCACACATTTCTACTCATGTCTTATGGAAGACTCACTCAACATGTATAGAGCCAGGTTTATTACACAGTGGGTAACTGTTACTCTTTAGTCGAACATCCATTACACATTCTTTTGGCAATAGCTACCTGACTTCTTTTTTTTTTAATCCTCACCAGAGGACATTTTTCCATATTTTGTTCAGATAGAGTGGGAGGGAGGGAGGGATAGAGAGAGAGAGAGAGAGAGAGAGAGAGAGAGAGAGAGAGAGAGAGAGGGAGAGAGAAACATCGACGTGAAAGGGACACATTGAGTGGTTGCCACCCACATGACCCAACCAGGGCCGGGGACAAACTGCAACCGAGCTACTTGCCCTTAGCAGGAACCGAACCCGGGTCTCTCCGGACCGCAGGCCGACGCTCTAACCGCTGAGTCAAACCAGCCAGGGCTACCTGACTTCTTTCTGTGGAATTACCTCTTCTCCTTAGTTACAGTTTGAAGAGCCCATTAATCAAGTGACTAACTACCTACCCCTAGCCAAGGAAATAGGGGTGAGGGGATGGAAGGTGGGGTGCAGGAGAAAGAAGAACAAATGCTACCTCCCTGGAGAGTGGAAGATGAACAACAAAACCCCCGATGAGCATTCGCTCACCCCAGCAGCAGTGCCCTGCCACCAGACTGGCCACTGACTGTTCTAAGCCTGGCTCTTCAGTCTTCTCTTTGGACCTAGCAGCACCCTCATATTTTAATAAAATCCCTTCTTGCTTATACTAGCCAGAGTCCAATTCTACTGTTTTGGAAAAGAACCCTAAGTTATACACATTATTTTTCATGTATGCTGTCTCAGTTAATGTCACCATCAAACTCCTAATAACTCAAGCTTGAACCCAAGTCACCAAATCTTCCCCTATTCCCTCACTCAATTGGTCAACAAATGGTAAAAATTCTACCTTGCTCACTTAACCATTCTTTTCATGCCAACTGTCATTACCTTAATTCAGGAACTCATTATCTCTGACTTGGGATACTTATTCATTCACTAAACAAGGTCACCAGGGATATTTTTTCAAAGCTCAGATCAGATTATGGCTCTGTACTGAAACAACTTCTGTGGCTCCTCTCACAGTCTAGCATTATAGGCCTTTTATGATCTGACTGCCTAATTCTCATCCCAATCTTAATTTACATATAGTCCATTCTCTAAAATTTCAGGTCATTGTCCTGCTTGGTGTGGTTCAGTTGGCTGAGTGTCCTCCCATGCATCAAAGGGTCACCGGTTCAATTCCAGGTCCGGGCAAATGCCCAGGGTCGTTGGCTCAGCCAATAGATGTTTCTCTCCATTTCCCTTCCTCTCTCTCTAGAGTTAATAAAAACACACAACCACATCAAACTTACAACTAAACTGCAGAACAACCATCATTCAAAACCGCCTGAAATCAAGCTGAATGGAAGTCCTACAACTACGGAATTAAAGAAACGGCCACATCGAAACCAGTAGGAGGGGCGGAGGCAGAGGGGCTGGTCCCACACCCACGTATGGCGGATAAAAATCAGGAGGACACCTCAGCTGGGAAGGTCCTTCCTGAGCACTGAGGGGTCCCCGTCCCACACCAGGCGCCCCGCTCAGGGCTTCAGTGCCAGGAAGAGAAGTCCCCATAACTTCTGACTGGAAAAACCAGCGGGCACTGAGGCTCAGGGAGGCTGAGATGGCTGGAGCCCCAGGCAGCTCCTCTTAAAGGGGCCCTGCACAGACTTATTGGACTCACACCCTCCAAGCTTGCAGGGGAGGCAGCTCGAAGGGCGCCAGAGACATATAGGGAAGAACTGAGCTGTTTGGCATTGAAGTGAGGGCTGGAGAGGGGGCTTTCTCCCAGACAAACGTGCTGTCAGAGGCCTTTGTTCCTTTGGTGAGCCCTTCCCTGGGGGCGGCAGACAGTCGCCATATCTGGGACTCCAGCAACCTGGTTCACACTGTTTGCGCTGCCCTGGTGACTCCCTGAGGCCCTGCCCCGCCCAACCTTCAGGCCCACCCAAGCTGTTGCCAGTTGCTTCACCATAGGATTGGCCTGTCTTGGATCCTGCTTCAGGTTTTCCTAAATTTTTTCAAATAAGCAGCATCTGATCTCAGCTAGCCCCATAACTCTCGTTAAGTAATACATGGAAACAAACACAGGGAGGCAGCCAAAATGAGGAGACAAAGAAACAGGTCCCAAATGAAAGAACAGAAAAAATCTCCAGGAAAAGAACTAAGCGAAATGGAGATAAGCAACCTAACAGATGCTGAGTTCAAAACACTGCTTATAAGGATGCTCAACGAACTTAGTGAGAACCTCAGCGAACTTAGTGAGGGCCTCAAGAGCATAAAAAAGGATCAGTCAGAAATGAAGGATGCACAGTCAGAAATGAAGGAGGCACTAACTGAAATAAAGAATAATTTACAGAGATTCAATAGTAGAGTAGGTAGAGCCAGGAAGAAACCATCGATTTGGAATATAAGGAAGCAAAAAACACCCAATCAGAACAGCAAAAAGAAAAAAGAATCCAAAAAAACAAGGATAGTGTAAGGAGCCTCTGGGACAACTTCAAGCGTGCCAACATTCACATCTTGGGGGTGCCAGAAGGAGAAGAGAGAGAACAAGAAATTGAAAACGTATTTGAAACAATAATGGCAGAAAACTTCCCTAACTTGGTGAAGGAAAAACAGACATACAAGTCCAGGAAGCACAGAGAGTCCCAAACAAGATGAACCCCAAGAGACCCACACCAAAACACATCATCATCAAAATGCAAAAGGTTCAAGACAAAGAGAGAATCTTAAGAGCAGCAAGAGAAAAGCAGTTAGTTACCTACAAGAGCGTTCCCATAAGACTGTCAGCTGATTTCGCAAAAGAAACTTTGCAGGCCAGAAGGGAGTGGCAAGAAATATTCAGAGTGATGAAAAGCAAGAACCTACAACCAAGATTACTCTATTCTGCAAAGCTGTCATTTAGAATCGATGGCCATATAAAGAGTTTCCCAGACAAGAAAAAGTTAAAGGAGTTCACCACCACCAAACCATTATTATATGAAATGTTGAAGGGTCTTTTTGAAGAAAAAGATAAAATATATAAACAAACAAAATGGCAATGAAGCCCTGGCTGGTTTGGCTCAGGGGTTTGAGCGTCGGCCTGTGGTCCAGAGAGACCTGGGTTCAGTTCCCGCTATGGGTGGGTACTTCGGTTGCAGTTTGTCCCCAGCCCTCATTGGTCGTGTGGGTGGCAGCCACTTGATGTGTCCCTTTCACATCGATGTTTCTCTCTCTCTCTCTCTTCCTCCCACTCTATCTGAACAGAAAATGGAAAAATGTCCTCGGGTGAGGATTAAAAATAAATAAATAAATAAATAAATAAATAAATAAATAAATAAATGGCAATGAATACATATCTATCGACAATGGAATCTACAAACAAAATGAACAGGCAGAACAGAAACATTCTCATAGATACAGAGAACATTTCCTTGGTTGCCAAGGGATGTGGGTTGGGAGAATGGGTGAAAAAGCTGAAGGGATTAAGAAGAACAAATTGGTTGCTAGACTGACAAACCTCAAAGAAAAGGGGGTTGGGGGGTGGGAAGAAATAAACTAGGGAAGAAATAAACTAAAGAACTTATATGCATAACCAATGCACACAGACAACAATATGGGAAAAGGCAGGAGGGGGGCGGGAGTGGGGAGGAGGGGGTCAATGGGGGAGAAATGAGGAACATCTGTAATATATTCAACAATAAAGAAAAATAACAGTAAAAAAAAATAAAGTCAATAAAAATGTGTGTGTGTGTGTGTGTGTGTGTATATATATATATATATATTTTTTTTTTTTAAGAAGTACATAAAATTTCAGGTAATTTCCACAAAATCTTGTAGGTGTTAAGAATCTTATGTAATATCTGGGATTTTCTTCAAAATAATATGGGATGTGCCCTGGCTGGTTTAGTTCAGAGGTTGGAACATTGGCCCGCTGACCAGTGAGTTGCGAGTTCAATTTGGTCAAGGGCAGGTGACTCAGTTGCAGTTCGTCCTCAGCCCTAGTCAGGGTCATGCGGGAGACAGCTGTTTTATGTGTCTCTCTCACACTGATGTTTCCCTGTTTCTCTCTCTCTCTCTGTGTCTCCTTCCCTCCCTCCCTCCCACTCTACCTGAGATAAATGGAAAAATATCCTCGAGTAAGGATTTTAAATAATAACAACAACAACATGGGATGAGAAAAATATGGGAAGGGGTTGCAGACTGGGATGGAGCAAGATTGGCCAGGGGTAATGGTTGTTGAGGCAAGATTATGGGTTTATGGGAATTCAACATGCTATTTGTCTACTGTGTACATTCAAAATTCTCTATAATAAAAAGTCTTCACTTATTCAAGAAAGGAATCCACTCATACTAGTTTAGTCCTGAAGACAATAAAGAAATACAGATTCACCCTGGCTGGTTTCGCTCAGCAGTTAGTGCATCAGCCTGCAAACCAAAGAGTCCTGGGTTTGATTCCAGCCAAGGGCACGTACCTCGGTTGCAGTTTGTCCCCGGCCCCGGTTGGGGTCGTGCAGGTGGCAACCAGTCAATGTATCTCTCTCACATCAATGTTTTTTTTTTTCTCTCTCTCCCTTAAAAAAAAATAAATAAATACAGGTTCAAATTCTTTTTAATATTAAAAAAAAATAAAACTAGGAGTCCAAAAAGGAACAAAGAAAATATAGGGATTAACATAACAAAAAATAAGAATAAAAGAAACAACCAGAAAGCATAAAAGATGACATGAATAAAATCAAACCTAGCAGTTACGACAAAAAAAATGTGAATGGGTCAAATTTCTCTATTAAAAGGTAAAAACCTAGAGTTAAAGGACCAAAGCTATGTTAGACAGTGTACTTTTTTAAAAGGGTATGGTATATTAAACAAATCCAAATTACTTCCTTTAGGCAATAAAATTCCATCTTCAAAAACCAATACATTCATACCTGAAATGATTCCCACTTAGAATCTCAAGACCTTCTGTTAAGGCACAGTACAGGCTGGTCTGGGCTCCCTGCTGAGGGGTCTTGATGAAGAAGGAGAAAAGCCACCACATCCATTTCATGAAAGATGAGTGCCTAACCAATTCAGAGTTGACTGTGCCAGGGTGTACAGAATATGCTGAAACGCCAGAGCCTTATGGGGGAAGACAGGAGAGAGAGAGGAAGACAGGATTTAATGTTGCTCGATGGCTGAAGAGAGCAGAGGACAAAAATAAACACGGCCCAGTTTCAAATCCCAGCCCTACCACTCATTAGCTGTGTGACCTTGGGCAAGCTCCAGATGCTGAGATTCAGTTTCCTCATCTGTAAAATGGGTATAATATAATACCTGCACCTAACAAGATTGTTCTGAGGATTAAATGAGGTCATATGTAAAAGAGCTTGAATAGTGTCTGGTGCATTTACACATTTATAAATGGCATTTATACATATGCTATTTCAGGTCCCCAATTCTTGGGGCAAGAAATGTTTCCAATTTTTTTCTGTATTATAAAGGTAATATGATACATATACATATATTGTCTATTACCTACTCTCCCTAGTACAGGTAAGGTTTTGTTGCCCATTGTGTTTTGATGCCAAGCTTATAAAAAAACCTGAAATTTCAGGCCTTTGTAGATTTCACAAATTACAGATAAAGGGATAAAGGACAGTAGATTTGCTTTTTTTTTTTTTCAACTCCAGAGCTACTCTGAATGACCCATATTTAATATTCTGTGTTCTAACCATAATGGCCTTCTCTCTGTTTCTCTCCCCTCTACCTGGTATGTTCCTCAACCACCTCATCCCACCCACACTGTAACCCAAATAATTTCTAATCAACCTGCAAGGGCTCAGCTTGCAGAGAAGTCTACCCTGATCCTTCAGATTGAATAAGGCCCCCCACAAATTGGCTACAGGTCCTCATACTTCCTCTTTATAGCATTTACCTCAATGACAGTCACACAACAACAAAAAGGAAACAATCTAGATGTTCTAAGAACATGACTAAATAAATGAAGGCATACCTATACTATGAAATACAATGCAGCCAACACAAGGAATGGGGTAAATCTCAATGTACTACAAGGAAAGATCTCCAAGACATTATGCTGGCATTTCAGTTCCTTATCTATATATAAATGCATAAGATAATTGGAAAGGGGCGCGTTAAAATTGTTGGCAATGGTTTCTTGAGGAGAAAAAAGTAGGAGGGGGAGCTAGGGGAAAAAGTGAAGGGGGTTTTTCACCTTTAATATATGAACTTTTACAATGAAAATTATTCATGTATTTTTTTTTGGAGGGGGGGTACATGCCCCTCGCGGAAACCAAACCCAGGACTCTCTGGTCCACAGGCCGATGCTCCAACCACTGAGCCAAACCGGCCAGGGCAAAATTATTCATGTATTACTAGACTGATTTTACATGTGACAGTTGTATAACTGCTTGATAATTATCTCCCCTCTATTAGATATAAACCAATCTAGTAGATTGAGGGAGGGACTGTACTTGTCTCGTGCGCCACTCCATCCCCAAGCCCCTATCCAGTGCATAGAACAGCACGGGCACAGAATGCTTGTCTGCTGAATGGCTGAATGAAAAACTCTTCTGTCATGTCCAGGTTTCTTTCATGGCACCACAGCACGTCCATCAGGCTTCCTTGCTCATGTAGCCTTTGCTTTATCTGATCCTCAGAGCTGAGCCCATTTCTCCATGCCAGGCCACCCTGGCTCCCTGACTGACCCTTTGGATAGTTTTCATCCTCTTGATCCTGATCCATCCTGAGCTCATGAAGGATGTCATGCCCTGGGCACAGACTGGACATGTGAACTAAGCTGACCACCAGCTTCCTTCCTCCCCATCTCAGAGCTTCAGCATGGTTTGATGATCCTGTTCCAACAATGCGGCTCCTGTGTCTGGTTCCTTAGGCCTGAATTCTGGCCGCCTCAACTCCTAGACAACTCCAACTGTCCACCCTGGATTTCCTGTCTTTACTGGAATCCAGAGTGGATGATGCTGAGAAACTCTGTTTACTTGTGACTGGAGAGTCCCTTCCTCAAGCATACATTTCTCTTATTTGACCCTTTGCTGTTAGGAAGACAACACCTCCCTCAGCCCCTGCTAACCCCAGCACTTGTTTTATCCTAATGATTGTATCTAGTGCCAGTTCAGGTCCTTTGCTTCTATTTAGTTTCACTATAAGTAAAAAACCTTGACTTGCTCATGAAGCCTGAATTAATTATGACAACAACCTGTGAAGTAGTCCAATTTTACATATGAGGAAATAAGCCTTGAAAAGTCACTTGCTGCAGGTCACACAGCTGGTAACACCAAGCTTTCAAACTCATAGTCAGAATGTCCCCATCCCCGGACAGCCACCTCCAATATTCAGTTGTGGGCTGCTTACTATAACTAGACCCAGTTATAGTCATGGAAGCAGGTCCTGGCCAGAGAATAGGCTCCAGAAAACAGTTTCTAATTCTGTGGCTTTTAGCTACTTCCCCAACTCATGTCTCCACACTCATTTCTGCTAAGCCTACCTTTCAGCCTCCGGGCCAGTTCCTGGGTGAAGAGAATGTTGGCTAACTTGCTATGACAGTAGGCCAAACCTGCACTGTAGAATTTCTCGCCCTGAAGATTATGAAAATGGATCCTTCCCAGGTGATGTGCTAGGGAAGACACATTCACTACCCTTGATGGGGCTGATTCCTTCAGCTTCTCTAGCAGCAGATGGGTCAAGAGGAAGTGACCTATAAGAAAAACTAGAATTAACAGAGTTCAGGGCCAGTGCAGGGGTGAGGGAACAGTGAGTGGTGAGCAGGGCTCAGCAATGGGAAGCAGAAAACTCAGGAATAAGGCTTTTTGCCTCATTCATTCATTGTCAACCACAGAACAAGTTAAGGGTTTAGAGAAACAGAAACAGTCAATGACACAGGACATCCTTTTATGACAGCGATTTTCAACCAGTGCACCACAAGAATTTTAAAAACATGCAATACCTGATTATTTAGTCAGGAGCACTGACCTCTTTTCCCTTAGACTGTCAAATAAAAAAATCACAACAGCCAACACAACAATAGTCCTCTGGTGTGAATGAAACAAAAATATATAGGTCATATAATAGAGTTTTATCTTATTGGTCATGTTGCATAATAAGGTTGCATCTGCTTGGTTAATGGTTAGTACCAGAAATCCTTATATACAAGTCTAGGCACCTGATTTTTTTTTTTTTATCCTTACCCACGTACATTTTTGCGTTTATCTTCAGATAGAGTGGGAGGGAGAGAGGGATGAAGAGAGAGAAACATCACATCAAGTGGCTGCCACCCATATGACCCTAACCGGGGCCAGGGACAAACTGCAACCGAGGTACATGCCCTTAGCAGGAACCGAACCTGGGGCTCTCTGGTCCACGGGCCAACACTCTAACTGCTGAGCCAAACCAGCCAGGGTGGCACCTGATTTTTTAAAGTCACTTTGGAGCAAAAAGGGTAGGTAATTACTATTATTATTATTATTTGTAAATTAATAAAGATTATAGCTATTTTTTGTCAGATTGGCAAAAAATGTATTTTTTTGGCTTACCACAGAATTTTAGTAATTAGTTTATATGTGCCATAAAATGAAAGAGGTTGAAAATCACTATTCTATGAAGTAGGTCTAGATTATGTGAATATGAACATGATGTACTGTCTCATTCCAACTTTGAGTAACTTCCCTGATACTAGCCACAAGGGTCACTACAAAGAAAACAACACAACCCCCAATACAATTAGGCTGTTCAAAAACACCCCAAGGTAAATAGAATCTGAATCAGATTAAAAAGTGGGTGGAACCAAGTGGGCCTCAAGTTTATCCCTGCGCTTTCAAGCAGGATCATATTTATTGTTTACTTATGGTCTATTATGGCCCAGAGGTCCAATCACACCACAAAGAAGGCTCAGTCTGGCCCCTAAGTTTTCCAAGGAGAACTTCAGGTTCCCTCTAGCTTTTGTGATGAGACCAGATTTCTTACCCAAGTGGTTGACTCCTATATGCATCTCAAAGCCATCTGCTGTCTTGGAGTAGGGACACATCATCACTCCTGCATTGTTGATCAAAATGTGAAGGTGCTTTTCCTCTGCAGGGAAGAGGAGATGGAGCCATAGCTATTACATCTTAGAAATCTGCCTCATACCCAGGCTCGGAAAATGGAGATGTAGGACTTTAATCTTTTCTCCATGTTCTCTTCATACTGATTTTGTATTGCTTTCATTCTAAGACTTTAGAATCCTGCATACTTTTACTACAGGACAAAATTCCATCTTACATTATCAAATGGCCTTTCCAATCTTTCCAATTCAGGAGCTACTTACTTACTGCTTCTGGGAAGTGTTCTGTCCACATTTCCCAGCAGAATGGGAAGATTCCAAAGCAAGAGAAGAAAAGATGTCCTGTATGCACTCCTGACACTGGGATTCAGGCACCAAAAGAAATACTGGTTTAACTTCTTTGCTGCCTATGCCAACTTTCTCTCATGGTTCATTTTCTCCTGTGGTTAGCAATTTCTGACTATAAGCTCATGTTCTCCTTGGGAGGCCTAGCTCCCTGGGTTATGAGGGGATATGCCTGCAGAATGCTCTAGGATTTGCTTTTCAAATAATACTACAGTACTTTATGTTAATTTCTCAGCTTAAGATTCTTGCACTATTTGGAGGTATGAATTCCCCTGCCCCATAGATGATGCCAGCTGGAGGTTCTAATTTCTTGCAGATGATTCTTTATCCATTTATGTCCTGAAGAGATAAGCTTCTTTGTCATGTCCCTCAGCTGGTGGCCTGTGCTTTTTTAAGCTCCTGTACCATGGACCAACCTTACATGGAGCCTCAGAGACAGCTCCCCAGCTCTCAAGGGCCCGACGCCTCATCTCCAGACCCTCAACCCCATATTGAGTTCTGACACCCCTGTGAGATTTTTGGCTTTAGTGCTTACAGCTATGACTTTTTGAATTAACTTTATATTTCTGCCTCTTGAGGATTTCCCTTTGTTACTAATGAGTTCAGCTCTGAATCAAAAGGTTTGGGTTATATTTTATCTAGCATTTCTGTACAATAAACAGGGAGAGGGATCTTTTCCTTTTAGCCAAGTCTGCCATGTTGACCCAAAACATAGTCTTAGGTTGTACACTTACCTGCTAAAAAGCCCTCAGCAAAGGCTCGAATAGATTTAGTATCAGCCAAGTCCAGTTTCCGCACCAACACCTGTTGGTTCCCTGTCATGGTCTGGATCTCTCTGGCCACCAATTCCCCCTTTTGCACATCCCGGCAAGCTATATATACACGGGCTCCTGTCAACCAACATATAAGAGACAAACTGTCAGCCCCGTGAGTGAGTGAGTATTATAACCCTAATACTAATGCTGAGTGTTATTTTCAACTGTTTTATTTATTTACCCCACTTCACAACAGAGGTATCTGATGAGTAAGTCAGGAAAGAAAAATAAATCAATAATATTCATTAAGTGTCCTTTAAATTGAGAGCATTGTATTAGGTTCAGACCAACAAATCAGTGGGCCACTTGGAATGTTCTTGAATTTCAGAATTGGGAGGAAATAAATGAGAATGGTCATTACTGTGAGGTAATGGCAGTCGCAGGAGGGAATTAGAAGTAGATAAACTTGCCCCTTTGAGCCAGCTCTTTGGCTGTCTCCTTCCCAATGCCTGTGTTGGCACCAGTGACCACAGCCACCTTCCCGGGAAGCTGGACAGTTGATGTACACACGCCGCTGGATAGCATTTTCCTGCAGAGAGAAGGAGAGCTTATCAGTTCTTCATTTTCCTTGTTTCAAACACAAGTTCCTGCAACCCAGTGTCTTCAGATCCCAAGGATGAGGTATGCTTTGGTTTCTTCTACTGCTGTCCTTTTATAGGTTTAAGGAAGGTTGGAGAAAAGAAAACAAAAGTTTTCTGGTTTTGCTCAAGAATAAAAGTGAGTCCATTACAAGGGCAATAATTGCTTAGAGCTACTCCCTACAGTACAAGAACTGGATGAATATTTGATTAGCCAGACACCTGGCTTTGGTTTGAGATCTTCTATAGGCCTAGGAAATCATAAGACTCAGCCTGAAAGAAGAAAGAACTGGTCCACATATGTCAATATGTTTATAATTAGCACTTTATAGCCTTGATAAACAGCTAATCCAACACAAAAAGCTAAAATTATGACAGCTTGTCAACTTGGGACAAAACAGACAGAAAAAACCCACAAAATTAAAAATAAGACAATGAGCCTGCTGGTTTTGCTCAGTGGTTAGAGCCTGGGCCTGAGGACTGAAGTATTTCAGGTTTGATTCCCAGTCAAGGGCACATATCTGGGTTGCAAGTTTGATTCCCGGCCCTGGTTGTGGTCGTGCTTGAGGCAACCAATTGATGTGTCTCTCGCTCATCAATGTTTCTCTCTTTCTCCCTCATTCTCTTCCACCCTATCTAAAAATCAATGGAGCCCTGGCCGGGTTGGCTCAGCAGTTAGAGCATCAGCCTGCAGACCAAAGAGTCGTGGGTTTGATTCCAGTCAAGGGCATGTTCCTTGGTTACGGTTAGTCCCTGGTCCTGGTCAGGGTCATGAGGGAGGCAACCAGTTGATGTGTCTCTCTCACATTGATGTTTCTCTCTCTCTCTCTCCCACTCTATCTGATGATAAATAGAAAAATATCCTTGGGTGAAGGTTAACAATAACAAAAAAAGATCCAGAGACTTGGAAGTAGGGAACAGACAGATAAACCTCAGAGGGAATGGGGGGTGGGGGTGGGAAGAGATAAACCAAAGAACTTATATGCATATATGCATAATCAGTAGACACAGACAATAGTGTGGGGAAGGCAGGAGGGGGATGAGAGTGGGTGGAGGGGGTCAATGGGAGAAAAAGGAGGGAACATCTGTAATACTCTCAACAATAAAGATAAAAAATGTAAGACAAAGAGAACACATAAATAAGTACAAAAGCTGAGATTCAAGTTTTGGTTTAATGAATTTGAGTCCTTGTTCTTAAGCACTGTACTATCTTTCTTTTCTAAAGGAATGAACACACACACAGAAATTAGTAGGCCTCAGATTGTTCTCTCCTCTTCTTTGCAAATCTTGAAACTCAAGTTAAAAGAATCTGTTGACTAGGAGATGCACTTTTAAAGGGCATTTCAGCCTTTCCATTGAACTTGGAATTGCAAGGTACACACTCCTAGCCACAAAAGATACCAGCTTAGTGCAAACAGGCAGATAAGAAAAGGCCTCCCCAGCTCAGTTTCCCACATCCCTTCAGCTTTAGCTCCAGGAGGGGCAATGTATCAGGACCTCTTCTCAGCTCTTTCATTTCCTTAACCAGCAGGAATGAAAAAGGCCATCAACCAGAAAGTCCTGCTCTGGCCTAACTCCTGTGACCTAACTAGGTGATTGGGAACATGACTCTTGGAGTATATCTTCCTCAGAAAAATCTCGCTGAGATATGAGCACTCAACTCACTATTTTCATTTCAGGTTCAACTTCTCATTGAGATTCTAGGTAGATAAGAAGATCTTGTGGTGGGAAGAGATAAAAGCACCCTTTTTTTCTGAGTATGTGCACCCATGTGTGCCCAGAGGTGGAGGCACTGAGTGTTCGGAGGGAAGGAAAAATATAACTGGAAGGGGCACAGGGAGGTGGGGGGGCAGGGCGGGGAAGAGAGGTGAATTCAGTAAGAACGGAGTGTAACCTAGCACGCCTTCAGGTTCCATAGGGACAGTGACTGCACCCCAGCTTCCTTATCCCGCACCACCCCGCCCCCCAGGAGGGCTGTGTCTTTCCACTCACTGGTTCACCGTCACCACTGGTGACTTACTCAGAACCAATCAGCAGGCCGCCTGTTTTGCAGCTCGCTGCAGATGCTCTGGGAACACTTAGCCAGCTATTGCCGGTTGTCTCACCTGCATAAGAGACCTTTACCCTCACCCTCTTGCCTAACCCTGAAACACCTGGATAATCCCGCACCGAAGGCAAGATAGGGCTCAAGATATCATTTCCTCTCCTTTACAACATCGCCCAGAGAAAGAGCGAATCTAACAGTGACAAGAGAGCAAGCAATGGGGCTGCAGCCAGTTTCAGAAAGCAAAAAGTTGAATCGCTCCATTGTACTATAGAGGCTGGAAGTAAGAGGCTAGACAGGGCTGGTTCAAGGCGTGGGAGCCACGGGGAAAACAGTCTGGAGGTCCACACCTTATTTTGGGGTCTGCAACCCCCAAAGCTGTAAACTTAAGTGTCTCAGGTAGCCTTGTACTCGGGGTTCGCTGGAGCCGGAAGCAAGGGCTGCTTTGACGAAAAACGGGGCCGGGAGAAACAAAGCGCGGTGCTCCGGGCTGCGGTCACTTCCCGCCGCCTGGGGCCTGATGGGGCCGCCCTCCCCGCAGCCGGACTCCTGCGACCAACCAAACCCGGCCTCCTACATGGAGCCCCTCGGGGAGTTTTCCTTTTCCTTCTTTTGATGAACAGAGCTTCGTGAGGATTAATGCCCCCCACCCCAGACTTCTCAAGAGAAGGCAATACATTTACACAGACCTGATCTGGGGTGCAGCGATGTACAGGAGAAGGGGGAGGAGGAGGAGCAGGAGCAGTACCCCAATCATCTTGCGGGGCGGCAGCGAAGGGAGATGCAGCAGCACAGGGAGATGCCCCAGAGATGCTCACCAACTGTGGCTTTCCTTCCCAGACACGTCCTAGTACGACAGCAAAGCTGGGGAGCAAAGCCATCTGGGAAATGTAGTCCAAAGCCTGGCGTGGGCTAACAGGCAGTGAACGTGCTGTTCACGGTCGCAGAGACAAGTTGAACTGTGCACCAGGTACACTGCAGATCCCCAGCTATCTAGGGTCCAGGGCCTTTGGGATCATCCAACCAGCTCTCCCATAGCCTTTCTGGTCACCAATGGTTCTCGGGAAATCTCCGAAGACCTCTAACTCCAGGTGCCCAAGTCTAGACCCCCGTTCATTGTCCCCCAATCATCGTTAGGCAGTTACCACATGGCTTGTCCTGGCATCTGGGACATGTTTTAAGGCGGATTACACAGGAGAGGAGCAGTTAGAATCTGACAGTTGGTAAAGTAGGGGGAGGTGAGAATTCTTCCAGTTCAGGGATTCCAATGGAGCTGAAGCAATGGTCCCTGCACACATTCCCAGGAGAATCACTTTATTCTGTCTATCTTGAATTATAATGCTAACTATCATGATTTTCCTGGTGTTTGACGACTAAGTGATAATACAGTATAGTTTTCTTTCTTTCTCTTTTTTTATCCTCCCAGGAGGACATTTTTGCGTTTATCTTCAGACAGAGTGGGGGCGGGAGAGAGAAACATTGATGTGAGAGAGGCACATGGAGTAGTCGCCACCCACAGGACCCCAACCGGGTTGAGGACAGACTGCAACTGAGGCACATGCCCTTAGCCAGAACGGAACCCGGGACTCTCTGGTCCGGAGGTCCACGCTCCAACCACTGAGCCAAACCACCCAGGGACCAGAGTATAGTTTTCTTGATGAATTGGGTTAGTTATATTAACTCCCAAGGTAGCAATGAATTTCTCAGATTAGCAGCACAGTTGGTTTTGCCAATTTATGAAACTGTTTAATCCTGTCTTCAGTTAAGGCCACGGATAGCCCCCTGCTTAGCCATTCCTTTCAGCTCTATTATCTGAGGCCTATATTTGGTTTCCAGGGGGTGAAGGTGGGGGATATTTAACTACTCAGTATCTGGTTGCGTCATCTGATTGCACTACACTAATGCATTCTGGATCTTTTTTCTGGATAATTCATTTCCATTTGATTGAAAGATACATGTTCCAAGGTGAATTTGAATCGACATTTTATATCAGTTTCTACTGCTTTGACATTAGGATCTAATTTTGTCACATGTTCATTATTGTGTTACCTCATATTTGTACAAGGTTTATAGCTTTGTTAAACGCCTTTCATATGTTTTATTTCACATGTTGTATTTCTGTGCTGAGGTACAACAGGGAGCCAGGTAGAAATGACTTATGGCCTGTCAGGGCAGACCTTAAACCATCGATTTTCAACCGGTGTGTCACAAGAATTTTTTAAAACATGCAATACCTGCCCTGGCCGGTTTGGCTCAGCGGTTAGAGCGTTGGCCCGCGGACCGGAGAGTCCCAGGTTTGGTTCTTGCTAAGGGCACGTGCCTCGGTTGCAGTTTGTCCCCAGCCTCAGTTGGGGTTGTGCGGGTGGTGGCCACTCGATGTGTCTCTCTCACGTCGATGTTTCTCTCCCCACCCTTCCCACTCTGTCTGAAGGTAAATGCAAAAGTGTCCTCTGGTGAGGATTAAAAAAAAAAAAGATTAAAACATGCAATTTAGTCAGGGGCACTGGCCTCTTTTCTCTTAGATTGTCAAATAAAAAATGACAACAGCCAACACAACAATAATCACCTGATATGAATGAATAAAAACTATACCTATTTTTTCGTCAGATTGGCAAAAAGTATATTTTTTGGTGTGCCACAGAATTTAAATAATTAGGTTACACATGCAATGGAATTTTTTTTTAAAGGCTGAAGCCCTCAGCAGCTGGTCAGCCCTCGGATCAAAGAGTTGCAGGTTCAATTCTGGTCATGGGCACATACCTCAGTTCCCCAGCCCTGGTCCGGGTCATGCGGGAGGCAATTAATCGATGTCTCTCTTTTTTCCTCCCTCCCTCCCTCCCATCTGTCTGAAGATAAATATATATATATATATTTCCTCAGATGAGAATTAAAAAAATTTTTTTTTTTTTATCCTCACCTGAGGATATTTTTCCATTTTTTGTACAGATAGAGTGGGAGGGAGAGTGAGGAAGAGAGAGAGAGAGAAACATCGACGTGAAGGGACACATCGAGTGGCTGCCACCCACACGACCAACCAGGGCCGGGGACAAACTGCAACCGAAGTACGTGCCCCTAGCGGGAACCGAACCTGGGTCTCTCCAGACCGCAGGCCGACGCTCTAACCGCTGAGCCAAACTGGCCAGGGCAAAAAATTTTTTTTTAAAAGGCTGAAAATTGCTGCCTTAAACTGTGAATAAATGATGATAAGGGTTATGAAGGGGAAAAGAGAAAGCTTTGGGAGCTGATAGCAGGAGGCCCCTCCTGATCTGGAGATCAGGAAAGGTTTCTTTGAGGAAACAACATTTGAGCTGAAGACTGAGTGAAGGTCAGGAGTTAGTGGGCAAGAGTACTCTGAGCAGAGGGAAGAGCCTACTTGAGAGTTCAGAGTCAGAGCAGGGCCCTGGCCAGTTTGGTTCAGCGGTTAGAGCATCGGCCTGCAGTCCTGAGAGACCCAGGTTCGGTTCCCGCTAAGGGCGCGTACCTCGGTTGCAGTTTGTCCCCGGCCCTGGTCGGTTGTGCGGGTGGCAGCCACTCGATATGTTCCTTTCACATCGATGTTTCTCTCTCTCTCTCTGTTCCTCTCTCTCCCTCCCACTCTACCTGAACAAAAAAAAAAAATGGAAAAATGTCCTCGGGTGAGGATAAAAAAAAAACCAAAGAAACCAAGTCAGAGCAGGGGCACTAGAACAATGGGAAACATTGGCCTAGCTGAGTCATGGGGCAGGGAAGAGTGCCAGAACCAGCAATAATAGCCAAAGCTTAGACACTTCTTATTAAGTGCAAGGCCATGTCCAAGTGCTAAATAAATAAATATATATATATATATATATATATTCCCTTTATTTCCATAACAACTCTATGAAGTATGTACTATAATTTTCCCTGAGGCAACAGGAATTTTGAGTAAGTAGCTCAGGCCATAGTGGCAGAGCTGGGATTCGAACACAAGCAGTTTGTATCCAGGGTCTGTGTCCTTAACTACTGAGCCATACTACCAAAACATGAGGTTCGAGCCCAGCCAGCATGGCTCAGTGGTTGAACAGCAACCCATGCACCAGGAGTTCACAGGTCCGATTGCCAGTCAGGGCACATGTCCAGGTTGTGGGCCAAATCCCCAGTGGGGGCATGCAGGAGGCAACCAGTTGATGTTCTCTCTTATCGATGTTTCTATCTCTCTCTCCTTCTTCCTTCTTCCCTCTAAAATCAATAAAGAAAAGATTGTTTTAAAAAAAGATGAGGCTTGCCCTGGTCAGTTTTCTCAGTGGTTAGAGCATCGGCCCACAGATCAGAGTCCTGGGTTCAGTTCCCACTAAGGGCACGTACCTCGGTTGCAGTTTGTCCTCGGCCCTGGTTGGGTCATGCGGGTGGCAACCACTCGATGTGTCCCTTTCACGTCGATGTTTCTCTCTCTCTCTCTCTCTCTCTCTCTCTCTCTCTCTCTTCCTCTCTCTCCCTCCCACTCTGAACAAGTATGTTAGAGCTAGCTCACCAAAACCAGGAAGCAAACCACTTTCCTCCAGCAATGTCTCTCCAGTGCCACCTATTGACAAAACTTAACATTGTACCAGATGGCAAAAGAAAAAAATTAAATGAAACATTTCCACTTTCACAGAACAAGCAAAAAGAATGAGTTGGAGCTGAGAGGCAATAAATTGATAACTGGCACAAGAGGTAATCTGAAGAATGTAGAGTAACAGAATTATTTAAAAGGTATTTCATGAAGTAGGTGCAGTACTTAGCAACACCAAAAGCATGATTCATAGAAAAACAAATTGATAACGTAGACTTTATCAAAATTAAGAACTTCTGCTCTTTGAAAGATAATAAAGAGAAGTCACAGACTGAAAGAAAAATATTTACAAAACACGTATCTGATAAAGAATTTGTTGTCGGAATATATATATTTAAAAACTCAGGATTAAGAAAACACGTATCTGATAAAGAATTTGTTGTCGGAATATAGATATTTAAAAACTCAGGATTAAGAAAACAACTCCATTTTTTTTTTAATCTTCACCCAAAGACATTTTTTTTTTCTTTTTTCTTTTCCAGATAGAGTGGGAGGGAGAGAGAGGAAGAGAGAGAAACATTGATGTGAAAGGGACACATCGAGTGGCTGCCTCCCTCATGATCCAACCGGGGCCAGGGACAAACTGCAACTAAGGTATGTGCCCTTAGCGGAAACCGAACCCAGGTCTCTCTGGACCACAGGCCAACGCTCTAACTGCTGAGCCAAACCAGCCAGGGCAAACAAACCCATTTTTTAATTGGTTAAGTGATTTAAACAGATACTTTACCAAAGAAGAAATAGAGATGGCAAATAAGTACGTGAAAAAATGCTCAATAGTCATTAGGGAAATGAAATTTAAAACCACAATAAAGCCCTGGCCGGTTTGGCTCAGCGGTTGGAGCGTAGGCCTGCGGTACAGAGAGACCCGGGTTCGGTTCCCGCTAAGGGCACATACCTCGGTTGCAGTTTGTCCCCGGCCCTGGTTGGTCGTGTGGGTGGCAGCCACTCGATGTGTCCCTTCACATCGATGTTTCTCTCTCTCTCTCGGTTCCTCTCTCTCCCTCCCGCTCTACCTGAACAAAAAATGGAAAAATGTCCTCGGGTGAGGATAAAAAAAAAAAAAAAACACAATAAAATACCACTCTATACCTACTGTAATGGCTAAAATAAAAAAGTCTAATCATATTAAGTAGTGATGAAACTGTGGAGCCACTGAAACTCTCATACACTGCTTTTGAGAATGTAAAATTGTGGGACCACTTTGGAAAACAATGTGGCAATTTCTCAAAAAATTAAATATAT